TATTTGCTCTTTGACTTTGTTGATCTCTTTGAGTTGAAGTTGACTGTCAGAGGCATATATTTCCATCGTGTTGCTCACAGTTTCACTCAATAGAGAGATAATCTCCAGAGTCTTCTGCACTGATTTGCTTATTTCTTTGAGATCTGCGCTGTGTTTTCCTTCAGATTTCTCTATCAGCTGGGTGTGCCTGACTTCCATTTGCTCTATCTCTTGCCTAAAGGAGGCATGTTGATATGCTAGGGCTGATTCAATCAGCCCTTGGACCTTCTTTGTCCAGATTTCCGGTATCTCATCCGGAAGAGTAGGGGTGGAAGAGCTATGGAAATGAAAATTGGTTACCTGATGAGATGGTGGTGTTCTTTGGAAGAGTTGCAGAGGAAGAGATTCAGCATCTTCTTGTACACCTTCTTCATGAGTAACCTTCAGTGTTCTTTCAGACTCTCCTTCCGCTTCATCAAGCGCAAAATTTGATATATCCCTAGAGAGGGAGTCTCTTTCTTTAGCTGTATTCTCTTCTTCAAAAATGGCTACTGGAGTTTGAGAGACCTCTAGTTCTGCCATTTGAGTTTCCTTTTCAGCTTCTCCAGAATTCCTTTGTGCTTCAACAGCTTGCTCCATTGTTTCTGGAAGAGCTGACTGTTCCAGAATTTCTGCTGACTTCTCCGAGATCTCAATTTCAGTAGGATTGGAGATGTCACAAGGAGTGGTGAGAATCTCCAAAACTTGAGATCGGATTAGTGGCTTAAATTCTTCTTCTTCTGCTGTTTCCTGGTTCGGTTCTTGTGGGGGTGAGGTTGCCTTCTCTTCTACAACTTCAGTTAGAACCATTTCAGAAACATGTGAGGTTTCCGGAATTGTTTGGAAATCTTCAGCTGCTGCTTTCAAAACACCTTGTGCTTCAGAAGTGAAAACCACTTGATCTTCTGTGTCTTTTGAGAAGACTGACTTGAAGACTGCAGGATCTTCATCATCTGCTTCAAAGTCAGAAACTGGTGTGTTGGCCAGGTATTCTAGATGCAAGTCTTCAGGATTCCTTTGCCATACCCAGTAGTCATCCAAAATTTGTTCACAGTTTTGGTTGACTGGTATTCCTAAGCACTTTTTGATGAGCTTCTCATTCTTCAGTTGTTGGTCCCAATTCAACAGTTGCTCTGCTGAATTTCCAACTTTCCAGGCTTTCCAACCATAGTAGAGCTGCCAGAATTGGTTATCTGCATCATCTCTTTGAGGTTGAGGTGATGAGGTTGGAAGGCTTTGGACTTGAGCAATTTCTTCTTCAAGTTGTTGAGGGCTCCGGTTTTGAGCAGAGGTTTCCTCAGCAGGTTCCTTCTCCTTCAACTCATCCGGATTGACATTTCCAGATGTTGATGGAGAGTTGATCTTCCTCTTCTTCTTCCTTTGATGTTCTCCTTGGTCAGAGGATTCTTCTTCTTCTTCAAGATTTATTGGAGCAAGATTCTGTGGTGCTTCAGCACTGGGAGAAGGAGACACCACATGCTTTCTCTTGGTAGTCTTTGTGAAATTGATGAGTGGAACATTGTCTGATGAGCTTTCTTCTGCAGTGGAACTAGCACTAGCACTGTTTTCTCCTTTGGAGGATAAGTAGTATAGCCAGTATCTGGCTTCATACTTTTTCCCTTTAACTGCAACGCCCATAGATTCCAAAATATGTCCGATATACAGACCTTGACAGAGATACTTCTGATTGTGCTTTCCTAGATGTTTTGAAATGGATTTGAAAAAGTGTGCAGCCCAGTTTACCTTA